GTAACGCAACCACGAGTCGGCACAACGCAATCACGAATGGTTAACGCAACCACGAGTCGGCACAACGCAATCACGAATGGTTAACGCAACCACGAGTCGGCACAACGCAATCACGAATGGTTAACGCAACCACGAGTCGGCACAAAGCAATCACGAATGGTTAACGCAACCACGAATGGTTAACGCAACCACGAGTCGGCACAACGCAATCACGAATGGTTAACGCAACCACGAATGGATAACGCAACCACGAGTCGGCACAACGCAATCACGAATGGTTAACGCAACCACGAGTCGGCACAAGATGAATGAGCAAAAGCGACTGTCAACCACGCAACCACGAATCCGCACAAAATGAATGAACCAAAATTACTGTTCAACAGGGGTCAGCACTGCGCGCGTCCAGAGAGGCCAAGCCGGCAGCTCGCGTGATCACGCCCTGGGTCCGCGCCCTCAGCCGGGGTAGGCTCACCGTGCCATCGCCGAACTGGATGACCATCGTGGAAGAGTTCGAGGTCATCTTCCGGTTGATGATGGGTGCTACCGTCGACGGTCAGTCCGGTATCGTGCAGAGGCTGCTGGCGGCACTCCAGGTAAAGCGTCCATCTCTGGACGCCAGGATCGCGAGGAAGCTGGTGACGACGCGGGTCCACCTTCGGATCCGCTCACTAAACCAGCGCCAGGACGAAGTCGTAAGCACAAGTGATCCGCTCCTCGCGTAGGCCGGCCTGGCTCCCAGTGATGGTGCGCCGGGAGCTGCTCGCTGCCCGGCTGAACTGTCTGACAGCCTCAGAAGACAGAAAGTGACGGCGCTCTCCACACTGGCGAGTGATGCCGGGGTAAAGATGTCGGCACTGGACGCCGCCGGCAGACGCAGTGCGTTCTCCATCTGATTCAGCTGCTTCCTGCCGATTTACCTGAAACAAAGTCAAGTGAAATCAATGATCCTTCTTACCTAAGTGGTGGCCTGAGCTCTGCAATACGTGGACGTATCAATGGCCACAAAATCTATCTAATTAAGGTGCTGTTTAAATAAAGATAGAATTAATAGTGAATAGTGATTGTTGAAATGGCGACGGTCGGTGAGCTTAAACTAATGTAAAGTGGGAAACCCCAAAATTTAGTGTGTACAATATCTTAGCGCGAGCACCACTGAACATTACGTCAGCTCGCGCAATTTGATAGCCGCGTGCTGCTATCACCGGTGAAACAGGGCCCAGGTTTAGAGCCTTGCCCACAGTTTCCACTCAAGTGATTCAGAGGTAAGCTTAGTCTGAGTCTGATTGCAACATCATTCTCAAAGCTAGCATCTGAGTGTATTCAGTCTCTATCAAAACTACTGATTGCTGGAACCCTTGGCCCTGTTTCACCGGTGATAGCAGCACGCTACCTACTATCAAATTGCACGAGCTGACGTAATGTGATGAGGTCACACTAATGACGTTTCGTGCAATCCGTGAGCTTCGTTTGGACCAGAGTTGCTGTCTCGTTGAATTGCGTTTGATAGGTACATTTGTTTGATCGCATGGCCGTGAAGATGCTAACAGCAATATTTGATGACATCACACAGATTGACTGAGTCATGCTTTGTTGATGTTTCCATGGAAACCCAATTTGACACGTGTAATAGCAGCGTGCTGCTATCACTGGTGAAACAGGGCCCTTGTATTGACAGTTCAAGCACCTAACAAAGAAAATATCAAATTCAATTATCTCCTCACCTTGATCTATCACTCAGAGATGAGGACGCTCCCTCAGTGTTGATGATGTCCTGCGCAAGGGACTTCATCTGTCGGCGATCACTCCTTGAAGCCCGAGTGCTTTGTTGCGCCGGTCTGTGAAAACACCATTTACATCAACATTCAAATAGGGCACAACTTCAGTGAGCTGCTTTGAGCATTGGTGACTGATGCACAGATTATATTTGATATGCAAAATGTTTCAAGTATCATGCAAATATGTCGGTAGCGGTACCTAACTTGGTACCTACCTGCTTACTAGCAACCTAATTTACAAATTAATGTGTCATGGTACATATCTGACAAGCGCACACAGTCACAGTGCAAATCCAAAAGCAAATATAAATTTGTTACAATTTCCATCACAATAAGAAAGATTCGAATTAGTACATTACCAACTGAATAGTTGGCATTCATATCAAATCCATTAAAATGAAATACATACCCCGAAGACCCAGCACTGCGCAGATTCTATGTTGGAACCGCATCAGTCTTCAGACATGGGCTCACACCTGGCATCAGGGATGCTTTCACAAGGTAGGAAGGATCATAATCTGAATCAAGAAAGTGGTCTGAGCAAATCCTTGCCTGCAACACATTTATAGGATCCTGCCTCGAACATCTATGCACCCAGGTCGCACATGTGGCTGGATCCTTCGGGAACCGAAAAAACGATTTTGTGCAGAACTTGCCAGTCCTTCGGTAACTTCGGCATGTAGCCACCGCACAGTACGACATCCTGAATCAAGTCCTGAATCATTCAATCAATTTAAGTTTCAATGGTTTCAAACAATCAACTCGATGGTACAACCAAGGTACAACACAAGCAAGAAACAGGAAATGAACTTGTTTTCAACCGTGAGTCCGTGACCCTCAAAATCGAATTCAAGGCCAAATTTGCGGGGAAGGCCAGCTGAGAAGTGTCCGGTCCGCTGACGTCACGGGTAATGTTAAAGATCCGGGTGCCCGGCAAATAGGAAAGCTCGGGATGACAGCCCCCTGACGTCTGCTAAGAGAGTACCGGACTTTGTACTCTGCATGCTTGGCAGTCTATCTAGTCAAACATAAAACCATAACTCACTACAAAGTTTTTGCAGCATGCAAAACCAAACTTATACATATCCTGCAGCATATAAATAAAAATGTTGTGCCCTGTGGGCTGTGATCAATCAGATATTAAAAATGAATGCAGAAGCTGGTGCATATCACTGAAAAAGATGAGTGAGATCAAGACAGGAACTAATTATGGATACCCCAGCCTTTAGCTTTTTATCTACAGGATGTCATTTTAAGGTCTGCCTTCCCAAACTCAAGATGTATGCCAATACAGTTCCACAATGAGATGTATGTTTATCATTTGATACCTGTTGAAACTTGAAACATGAATTTTGATTTAACGTAACTGTAAAATACAGTTTCAATCATACTGACGAATGCATTTGTTACTTCTCAATGCACTTACACCTCAGTCCTCACCATTGATCATTAAATAAACTTAACATGCAAATATATATGATCTTGACAACATTCAATCATTGAATTCAATCACTGCTTAGCATGGCATTGACTTAAGGTGCAAATGTTACAGGTTGAGGTCACCAAAAATCAGAGAAAATGAATGCACTTCAATTTTCAAGCACACTAACACGATAACAACAGCACAATAGCAAGAAATAGAAGATGAGTCAAAATGTGATGGTTGCTACTTGTTTGTCAGATGATGAAATATCGATCTCAAAAGGTTGAAGTGACCCCGGAGATGTAAAACTCCAACTTTAACTTTGAACTCACCTTTCAGATTGACGCCATGTTAATTGATTCTTGATCTATATATATGATGCAACTTTTTGATCAAGCACGATGGGGGTAAAATGTATGACACCAAAGTCCTAGCACACACCGGGAAAAAGCCAATTAAAATTCAAATTGAAATGCACAGAACCCCCCCACAACACACGCGTGCACACAGCGCACACACGCGCCCCACACAAATGTAAACAACTTACCCCGCGTTCGATGTCTCTCGGACGGCGAAGATTCTACGCCGTCCGGCCAATCACGTTCCATAACCGCAGCCGAGCCCCCGCTAACCTTCAACGGGATTGGCCGGACGACGTAGAATCTTCGTCGTCCGAGAGACATCGAACGCGGGGTTAGACTTCAACTTATCAATTTGTTTTTAAATTCATTATCATCAAAATAGCAAAACAAAGCCTACGATATTTTAAAAATTAATGATAAAAGATATATAGGAAAAATATTTTTGTTGAGTTTTTACAACGTAATGTTATCGCTATTCAGACAAGAATCTGTCGGTTCTGTAGTAGCGCGTCCTCTATATACCGATGACAGCGACATCTGTCAAAAGGTGAAGCGACACCGCTGCTCCCAGGATCTATATATATGTCATATACGTCATATATACAGTGCTCCCAGGGGAGCACACCCGTGGCCGGGTGCAGTCAGTGCTTGGGGGGCTAATAGGCCTATCCTCTGAACGGGCTCAGCCCCGGCGAATCACTAGGATGCCTGCCTAGACCAATGGTAGCCCGGGATGGTGATGGACTGGCCGGCAGCCGGCTGGACCTCCTGAACAGCGGCAACGTCCGTCTTAGTGGTAGAGAGCCAGCGGTGGAACTCATCCCTCTTGGGGCGTAGTCCTTCCGCGTTCCAACTCGCGATGAGTAGTCGGCTTCTGTTCTGACGGTTCAGACGGTACCGTCTGTTCTTGGCCCGCCTGCTGCGGCCCCCCCAGGCTCCTCGCGCGCCGCGTCCGGTCGAGCCCCCGCCATCGGCGCTCATGGCGGGGGACGCTGGGTTCACTTAGTTAGGCGGACCGAGCCGCGCGCGCGCGGCCGGTCCGCAGGTGTTGCCGAGGTCGAGTCGGTCGAGTAGGTCGAGTGTCGAGCCGGTAGGTAGAGCAGCTGAAGACGACGGCCGGTGGCGCGTCGGCCACCGGCATCCGCCCTGGAGGGGCGGTTGTCCCCCGTTTGGCTGGCTCGGGCGCTGTCCACGCACCGAGTCGGGGCGAGGCCCCACACCGTCCACCACTTGAAGGCGGGGGACTCCAGACGGCAGTAGAAGCTGCTCGGCCACTGCGCCTTGCGATACATTACACCAGTCTTTAGTCACTTTATTCCAGTATCCCCCATCCTAGCTTCCTCTCAACTCAACTCATAGCCGTTAATTGTCAAATCGTGTTTTAATGAGGTCCAAGAGAAATCAACGAAATTAGTACCTATACGAAGAAACACTGAAAGGTTTAAAGATATCCTGTATTTCGTTAGAAAAAGTACCTAGGGACTCATGGGAAAGAACTGAAAATCATAAAATCAAAATGAGCTTCGCGTCCATCGTTCAATAAATTGATGTCTATGCACTTGAGGCGAACGGCCGCAGCTTAACAAGTTTGTGAAATTTTTCATAAAGTTAGCTATTCTTCATCATGACATGTCTCAGGACTGATAATGACGGTTCAGCATGGTAGTCCTTCAAGTGCATAACACTCAATAGGCTAGTTATAGGCGATCCTTACTGCCGTTCAATGTAGATGTTCATTGTTCATGCATTACATTCATTCCCAGGAGCGGTAAATCTGCCCCTGCGCCAGTACCGCGTCCATCGTGCCGTCCGCTGCGGACCATGGCCGGCGTCTCTCTCACTGACGTCCCAGTACGGTCAGTTCAACTCTTCAGGTTGGTACTGATGGTGATGAGCCGCTTGGTCTTCCCGCCTGGCTTTTTGCCTCGCCCCGACCCCTTCCTCCTTCCGTTTTGTCCCGTGCGCTCTAGGTACGTATCAATAAACTGACGGGTAGGGTTGGCGACTGCTGCGGCCGCGCAGGCGACCCCACTCCCACTCAGTTCTCGGCCGTCCATGAGTCGCGTGGGCATTCGGAGCGGACTGAGGGCAGGACGCTGCCACGCGCCGCCGCCCCCGCACGGCACTGTCGACGGCCGGAGGGGGCGCACGGGGCGACACGGCGACCAGGCATCCTTCAGCGGGCGGCGTGGCGAGCGGCGTTCCCTGCGCCGGTCGCCGCGTGCCCCGGCCACACACTCGCCCGGTGGTAAAGGATCTGGAGGTGGCGGTGGCGGCGGGGGCGGAGGACGACAACGCATCACTCGCGTCATCTTGCTGCGCACGCGGCCCGGCTCGACGAGGTCGTTCTTTAGCACCAGCTCGCGGATGTTTTGCGTGCGCAGGAAGTCGTCGGTGACACTCTTGATCCAGCGTCGGGGGTCCCTGGCACGTCGCTCGTCGGCTGGCGCGTCGTCACGACCGTCGCACGACTCGGCTGTGCCGGTGCTGACTGTGAGAGAGGAGATCTCGGCGTCCAAGAGGTCCTCAGGCGGGCCGCCGCCACCGGCGCCCGCCCGCAGCTGCTCCAGCAGTGAGTCCTGCTGAGAGGACAGGCTCATCTCCGCGCCGTCCTGCTGCTGCTGCGCCTGGGGCGGCGGCGCGCCGACCTGGCCGCTCACCGCCCGCAGCATGGCTCGGCAGCAGCGGCACTGGCCGCACGGCTGGTCCGCCGTCTCACTGCCGCCCCAGTCGGCCGGCCCGCCGCGCCGGTCGCCGTCACTGTCCCACGAGTCCCAGCCGCCGCCGTCGTCCCTGTACTCGTCGTAACCGTGGTCGTCCCACCTCTCCTCGTACCTCTGCTGATGACCACGTCCCCTCTGAGGTTCCTCTCTGTACCCTGCGCCGTCCCAGTCGGGCGGCCGGCCCTGTCTCCCTCCGCCGCCCGTCTGCCGCTGCTCCCACTCTGCAGCGGGCGGCGGCGGGGCGGTCTGTGTGGCCGACTGACGCTGCCCCATCACCCGACCCGACTCGGTGACGGTGATGGCTGGCACCTCGGCGGGCTCACTGTCACTGCCCCCGGAAGGGTTGTCGACCACCACTTGCTGCTGGTCACCGTATTTGGCCTTCAGCTGATCAGTGATGCCCATCTCATCCATCTGGCACGAGACGCGTCGCAGCCAGTCGAATACGTCCTCACCGCCTTTTCCTCCCTCCGCGGCGTCCTGGCCGCCACCCGGCACTCCAAGACGGACGCTCTTCCCGCCGGGCGGGCTCGCCTTCCCCTTCTTCCCCGTCGAATCCGACGAACCTCGCGTGTCAGCATCGGCGTCGTATGTGCGGTCTCCTCTCGTACCGACGGCGGCGCCCGGTCGGTGCTCACGCCGGCTAGCCTCCACTGAGTCGCGCGAGCCAGGCTCTGTGGTGGCTGAGCCGGCCGGCCCGTCGGTACCAGGTGAGCTGGTGAAGTCGGAGAGGTCCTCGGCGCCCTGCAGGCCGTGGTCGCCGGCGTCGAACGGTCCCAGGTCGACGGCCAGCTGCTCGTCGTCCTGCAGCTCGAATCCCTCCTCGTGCAGGTCATCAGGCGGAGCGCCGTCCGTGTCTGACGCAGAGGCGCCCGGGTCGGCGGGGGCCTTCTCGGAGAGATCTGCGGTGAGAAACATGCATGGTGATTGGTGAGGACTGCGACTTACGGGAAAACAAACTGGGAAATAGAGCAGTCGCCAAATCACAACTACACCACGTGCAATTTAACATGATAGGCGTCAGGAAGGTGCAAAAAAAAAAAAATCAAGCGAAATGAGCAGCAAACATCAAAAGAAGGATAAATTCAATTTATCTTGGCGACTTCAAAAGGAGTGAGCAAGCCTACAAACCAGTAACCGCACTCTTGAGAGTTGAGAGAAATGTCTGAATCGCTTACCAGCTCCTACTGGCACAGTATCATGACTGCCGCTCAACTGATGCTCCTCCTCTCCATGTTCCTCCTCATCACCATATTCCTCTTCGTCTCCTTGCTCCTCTTCATCTCCCTGCTCCTCTTCCTCCTGACCCTCCTCCTCCTCCCCGCGGTGCTCCTCGTTGTCAGCATGTCCTCCTCCGTCGGTGACGGTTATCTGACTGCCCGCCAGCTCGCTGTCCTCCTCCTCCTCCTCCACCGATCCGGGCTCCTCCCGGTCCTCTTCCTCCAGCTCCTCGTCATAATCTTCCTCCACAGGGTCCCGTGAGCTGCCCTTTCCAAGCATATCTTGCTTCAGCGGAGAAATCTAGCGGGGAAATGTGAGTGAGACGGGAAACAGCACGGAACTTAACGCCGGAAAACATAGGTTCTGATAGGGCACTCTCAGTCGAATTTGAAGTCACATAAAATGCCCATCAGTCCCACGGAACCAAGAATTACATTGGGTAATACACAGCCGTTGCACGTGTGAGACAAATTCAATCCACCTCAGCCAATGAATCGTGACATACTGGGTTAGGACACTTCCCGAAATCTTACCGCAGTGCTGAAGCAGGAACGACTCCCGCCAGCCCTCACCTTGCTGTCGCCGGTGATGGACGCCCTGACGCTGCGTCTGCGCTCCGCCGCCTCCCTCGCATCGGCAATCTCTGTCGCTCTCTTGACGATGGCTTGCGTCAGCGTCACAGCCACGCCCGCCAGGTCCTTGGACGCGGTGGTAGTGGGCCCATGGCTGCCGCTGCTGCCCTCCGCGCTGGCCACCGATGAAGAAGAATCCAGCTTGGCGCAGATGGTTCTCAGTTGGGTATTCTGTATTCTTAGGTTGCTGTCAGCTTTTCAGGGAAGTGTCCGAGATTTGGGCATTTTAGCTTGACCTACATGAGCTAGGGGTGATGATCAATTCGTGGTCGTTCGTTTCGTGTTACCTACTGGGCATTTGATGTGTTAAATATTCTATTCGCTGGTTTGTAACCTACAGTTAAAATTTGAAGACTTCAAGACACTCGATGAAGGCCTTGCAATCGATAATGTGCTGGCATTGACGTGATACGCTACGTCCGATTCGTAAGCTGCTGAAGAACTGCACCTCGAATTTTGCCAACGGATATGTCACGTGCATTTCGTGAACAATAAGTTCTCTTCAGACGAAACGTCAGCCATGGCCCAAAAACCCACTTTTCATAACTTTCAACTTCACACGAATGCTCGACTTTTCCATCCGCACGGTCCGAAAAATCTACTGAACGGTTGGCGTTCGGACTGTGTTTATTTGACATCAAAATACGCACGTCACTCTCACACCTACATACTGAACGGGGCGGATCGCGCGCGTCGAACGACACAAGAGAACACAGTGTGCAGATAGCCGGAAACGGTGAGCGAAACAGCGGCCAAACGCTGACGTAGCGACGGTGCGGCTGCGGCAGCCAAGCCCCGACCGAACCCTGTCCGACTCGCGCGGAAGAACTAACGCTCTAGGCACTTAACACGCGCCTCGTTTACAAATGTATCAACACACATACGCTCAGCCAAATCATGCTGAGCCCGACATACCAAAAATGGAAAATTGATAATGTAACGGACTAACCAACAAAACACGAAACCGACGCCATCACTAAATATAAACTCTCTCGCTCACGAAGGGACGGCTGGCTGCCGTTCGCCGTAAAAAGTGCAGCTCCACAGCGCCAGAAGTCGTGAGCCTGTCATAAAAAGACGAACACATTCAAATGATAATGACGAAGCCTGAATAGAACTCAAATGCTTAATGGTCCAAAAGTACTAATGGCCAATCTTTGTCACGAGCTACGATAACGGTGCCAGCGCGACCACCGGAGATCTCTTCTGGCGGCGCTCGACGTGGCGGTATGCATATGTGTGTGGAATATATGTATGTACAGGCTCGCCCAGACAGGAATGACATGATCTGGCATGATCGGGAGGCGTCACGCCCCGGCAGCGGCGCCGGAAACAATCATAGCTGCACAGAAACACTGCCAGGCGCAGCCAGCGACCGCGCCGCGAGGCCGGCACGGGTACGGCAGAAGCGGTCGGTAAAATAGCGCACAGGAATGCTATCGTTCTTTCTCTCTCTCTCCGCGTCTTCAGATCCCGGGGTAGACGCTTCGTCTCAGATCCTTCATCTCAGATCTTAGACGTGACATCAGATCATCGGTGCCTCAGATCAATCAATCTCAGATCTAGTGATGGGACGCACGATCTTTCAAATCAGATCAGATCAGTTTTCTGGCCCCTCTGCGGCCCTTTCCTGTCCTTTCTCACCCCTCCGAACACCAGCACTTTCCCACCACGCCACGCAGCAGCACAGTCTCGCACGACTTACGCACGAAACGCGAGCGATTTCCGCACGATTTCCGCGCAATTTCGCGAGAATTTCGCCCTCTCCTGGTGCCCGCGAGGCCGGCAGTTCTCCCCGGAGACGTTCATCGTTCACTAGACGTAGGCGGCACCCGTGGGCGGCGAGCCTTTGCGCTTCTGTGCGCCGTACTGACCAATGAACGAGCCGTCCTCGGTGAAACGGCCTGTGGACGGGGAAGGAGAGTTAGTGAGGGAGCAGTGGCTGCAGCAGGCGGGGAAACGGGGCCGGCCGGTATGTGGAGGACTGGGTGACGAGCCGAGTAGTGAAGGGGAGAAGTAAAGAAGATGACATAAGCAAATCGGTAAGAAGAGACAAAACATACATAGAACAAACAACAGAACGGCGAATCAAAATCAACATGAAGATAAGCAACAATACAGGAACTTAACAAAATAGGATTGTGGTAATCGTCCACGAAACTCAACAAGACAAACATAAGTTAACGGCTATAGAAAACTAATTAATCAAAATATTAGGCAAATGAACACATATCTACAATTGCCTATTTAGACAAAAAAGTACATACTTTAATCAAGGGAGGTCAGGGGCGCGGGTGAAGAGACAGGAGCCGGGCGAGAGGCGGGTGGCGTGAGGTGATATGAGGAGGTGACGCAGCCGTGGAGTGAGTACGGTACAGGAGTAGGAGTGACTCTGCACAGAACAAAGCTGCTGAGGAGACCAGTTCCCGGTGACGGACCGTGCGAGGGACGAGGCGGAACAATCTGGGACGGGACACATAAAGCAGCTCAGGACGTGGGTACAGCTCGGGGACGTGCAGTCGGCAGCTACAGACCGTGCGTGGCGGCGGTGGCGGCGGCGGCGGCGGGCGGCTAGACGAAGGTACCGACTTTGTCGACGGCCGGCGGCGGCATCGGAGCACCGTGCTGCCTCCGACCGCGGCCGTACTGGCCGATAAACGAGCCGTCCTCGTTCATACCCTCTGCGACGGCGCGGCGGGGCCGGACCGTCAGTGGGACACAGCTGAGCCGTGAGGGGCGGAGCCGGACGGCCGGCGGGCACACAGACAGACAACGGAACCGGGCGGCGGCGGGACAACCGAACCAGGCGACCGGGGGCTCCGACAGGGTCGCGCGGGGAGCGACCCGGTGGAACAGTTCGCACCATGCAGTGGAGGGGTGCACGTGGGGAGGGGCGGGGCAGACTAGGTCATATGTATTGGGTCACGTAAACACGAACGGGCGTGGGGTGACGTGTCATCCACCAACAACGGAAAGGCACATCTAGTGATAAAAAGCGAGCTCGTGCACAAATATACTGAAAAGTGGACACAAGCATAATAAAAAGATTTATACTGTTGCTTAATTTATGAAACCAACTTTATATAAGGCATTAAAACTGCAACGTAATATGGTGGTAAGTTGACTGATCTAATAATACACACATAGAAAATATCATTCTACGGGTTAAAAACAAGCTATTTATCAATAACATGTATAAAACTAAATCCAATTATAAGCGCAGGCGGTAAAAATGAACAATCACACTCCAAGCGGTGACTGGCTGTATTCTAAGAGTGACCGGCAGCAGTGATTGGTGACCACCGGCGACTCTCGGCGCCCGCCGAACTGACCTGCCGGGTCGTCGCCGTACTGACCTGCCGGGTCGTCACCGTACTGACCTGCCGGGTCGTCACCGTACTGACCTGCCGGGTCGTCGCCGAACTGACCTGCCGGGTCGTCACCGTACTGACCTGCCGGGTCGTCACCGTACTGACCTGCCGGGTCGTCGCCGTACTCTGCCATGGAGTCCGTGTCACTCTCGTGCGGGTGTTTGACGTCCGAGCTGACGCTGCCGCGACCGCCCGGAGGCATCTTCGCCTCCAGCGGCTGCTGGTACTCCTGCACACACGAGACAGAACGGAGGGAATGGTGCTCAGAGAAACACAACCGAACATCAACTGACGATTCAAATGTGGTCAGTTGTACTCCATCCTCTGAAGAAGGGAAAAATAATTGGTGGCCCTCTCCCAACAAATAAAATAAAATAATATAAAATAAAATGAAATAAAATAAATAAAATAAAATAAAATAAAATAAAATAAAATAAAATAAAATAAAATAAACGAAACAGGATAACGCTCAGACACCTGAATCAAAACAAGAGTCCGTCTGCCTCCCTCCCTCTCTCCGCTCTCACCTGGAAGCCATCCTCCGGGTAGAGGTCTCCTCTCCCGTGCGCGATCTCGCGGTCCTGAACGTCGTATTTTCCTCCGCGGTTGCGGCGCACGATGCAGACCAGGACCAGGATCAGAAGCAGCAGTGCCACGGCCAGCATCATGGCGATGAACCAGCCCGAGGTGTGGACGGACTCGACGGGACGAGCGTACGGAGCGTTCGGAGAGTAGGTCTCCACCTGAGAGACGCGGGGATGAGCGGTGTTAATAGAATGGAGTACAAGATAGGAGTACAAGATTGACGTGATACTGATAACACTTAAATCATTTGACCAAATAATATTGACGTAATATTCAAAGGTAAAAATGAATACACACACAAATGCGCATACACCAAATTAACCACCATCAATCGGATGAATCTCTTGTCACCGTACGGAGCGTTCCCTCCCGTCCCCCGTTCACCCACCTCCTCAATATCCGAGGCCTGGTAGTAGACGCCGTCCACGGACACAGTCCTGATCTCGTACACCATTCCGGGCTCCAGGTCCCGCAGCACGATACTATCGTTGTAGTACTCGGGCGGGGTCTTCTGGAAGTCGCTCTCTCCGTGTCGGCGGTACTGGACGAAAAAGTGCGAGCCCGGCCGGCCCTGCGTGTTGGGCAGCCAGGTGATCTTCAGGTTGTTCCCCTCGGTGCCGTCGTCATTGGGCACGTGTGACCAGACCAGACTGGGACGGTCCGGCGGGCGGGGCATCGGGTCGCGCGTGGTGCGCTCAATGAAGTACCTGGAGGCATGGGCAGAATAAAGACGGGTGAGTTGGTGCAGGGTCATGTTTTAGGGCCTCGGTTCAGGGTCTCAGGTGCTCTAGGGGGTATCATAATGGGTGGAGGGCTGACGACTCTTACGCGGCTGGTGTTGCTGAATGAAGTAGTCGAAGAAGGTGCAAGCTGGTAAAATAAGGGAAATCCAAATCATGGACGACAGGGCTATAGTGTACGCCATAAATTGACAATTGACTCACCCGACCTCAGCTCGTCAGTGAGCAGCTTATATCTACTTAACGTTTTTCTCAGCTACCCACTACACCCCAGCCCATCTCCTTTCTCTAACCCCTCCTCTGCCCAACTCTCTCCCATCCCGATCCACTTACGCCTCTCCCTCTCCGGCGGCCGTCAGCGCGCGCACGTGGATCCGATACTTGGTCGACGGCTTCAGAGTAGCCAGCTTGGCCCGCGTGACGCGCGGATCGTCGATATGCGGCGTGCGGTCCAGCAGGGGGCCCATGGTCAGGTTCTGCACCGTCTGGTACTGGATCTTGTAGCCGGTCAGGATGCCGTTCGGCTCGAGAGGCTTCTTCCAGATGAGGAAGAAGGCAGATGAGCCCATCGGGATGGCCTCCAGAGAGTCCACGGCGCTGGGTCCTGCGGCACGAGCGGGAAGGAGTGAGAGGCTATTCCCGGGCCAGACACAGCCAGAGGCAGCTCTCTTGTGCCAAAAGTTCACGCGTTTCATAAAAAAACAGTTTGGTATTACATTGGATGCGCCATTGACGCGCGTCGTTTCAAACCATCCGTACTGACCAACATATTCACTCGATCTGTAAATCGACACCAGAGCAGATAAGGAAACTAATGGTATCAAGTAGGTCGTCAAGTAGGGTCAAACGTTATGTTTTCGCTCTAAATCCTGGCGATTATGCTAATTTGGTGTGGTGAGCGGTACGAGAAATGAAGGTCTTTCCGGTCTAAAATACGGAACGAGGGAAGAATGATAGGGCAGAAGTAAAACGACTATCGTAAAACACACATTGGTTGGAAAATAATCAAGATCCCTGTCAACATGGGAGGCATTATGGACTGGTGTACTTGCGGCAGGTCCGTCTGGTGATACAATCTAGGGCGGACCACTGACGCGAAAACTACCGGGACTAGCCACCACAGCCCACAGGGCGGGGTCAGCGCCTGCATTTCATAACATAAGAGTATCGGCAAAGTAGAACTTCTCGGTGATCAAGGACAAAATATCGGGAGAAAACGGCCTACATAACAGGATGTTTTTGAAAATCAGAAACCACAAGGACACTAAGCCAGTAGATGCAGCCCACTCACCATGACTACCGTGCCATGTCTGCACAGAACCCCTTCCGCTCCAAATACCAGTCCCACGGTCACCCCTTTTCCCATACTCACGTCCTTCTGGCGTGTTGAAGGTGATCACCTCGCTGGGCGGACCCTCGTAGGCCCGGTTGAACGCCAGAATCTGCACCTTGTTGCGCGCGTGAGGCTTGAACTTGTCCACCAGGCCCTTGGTGGCCGTCGACTCGAAGGACATTTTGCGCATCTTTTCGCGTCCTTCACTCTCCGTCCATGTTTGAATCTGAGTGGAGAAGCAACAGAGTGAACAGGACGAAACGTGAACAGAACGAGACTAGTGGAGGATAAACGATGATAAGCAGTGTTGAGCTACTCTACGGCATTGGTCGAGTGTCATGTTTGAAAAAGTTTTGAAAACATCGCCAACTATAACGCAGCAAATGCGCTACACGGGATGTTACACCCGCAAGGGGCCTCTCATTCACCCTTCTCTAGTTATACCATTCATGCACCCCAATTCCCTGTCACTCGATATCGAACAGGTTTATTTCCTGTACCCGTTGTAGCCATTAGCCACCCGCTCCCACTGACCCGGTAACCGAGGAACTCTCCGCGCAGGGTGCTGTTGTCCACCGGGTCCCAGGAGAAGGTGGCTCGCTTGCCGTCGTGGATCTGCACCAGACGGAAATTAGTTGGCGCCGCCGTCGGTACTGTGGGTAGAAGCGGCGGCGGTGAGGCGGGTTCGGGGGTGACGCCTAACACCGGTATCGAAATAGTACGAAAGTAATGTGTTCTTGGCGTATTCGGTCAACTAGTAAGTTGAGAGTGATAAACTGACAAAAGCTGACATATTTGACGAACATTGAATAATCGGGGCATTCCACAGATGCTCCAGAGCCGTTGTTCCTAACAAAAAAAAAAAAACGGTTTCAGTAAATATGCCAGAAGACAGGCTTACTCTATCAAAAGGTCACAAGAGCGGCTGGCTCACTGAGCTCACAATTAGCCCCTAGTTCGGTAATCAAAACTTTATCAACACCTCTACCATCCCATAGATCACGACATCGGTCCAAAGCACCCAACAAATGACACACCCAAACCAAGATCACTACATTTCATCACCATCGCTCTCCCAATTTTCCGCAGCCGCTCCTTATGACTCAACCACCCCCCCCCCCGCTCCCACTGACCCTTAGGACCCTCCCCTCCCCTCTACATAGCGCTCCGACCGACCCTCGCACCACCCCCCCTTCCCCTCCAACTGACCGTCCTCTCCGGAGTATCCGATCACCTCCACGGGCGAGACCTTGCTCTCGCCCAGCTCGTTCTGTGCCTCCACCCGTATCCGATACGGCACGTAGGTGGGTTGGTTGGGGATCAGCAGGTGGCTGCGGCGCCAGTCGGTCACCACCTCCTGGTTCCACTCGTCATCCGTGTCGTTACGCTTCCAGTAGACGCGGTAGCGGAACTTGCGCGCGTTGTGGTCGATCTCAGACATCGGCTGTGTTGGGACGGGAAGCGCAGGGTTTCAGTCAGTTAGTCAGTCACAAGAAGTGAATGTAAGCGGGATCCCTAGCGTTAGTGTTCTGAGAAATGACACTTTGGTATTGGGGTGTATAATTGGCAAAGATGGTAATATAGGGTATTGCGCATCAGCTTATCTTATACTCCGTTGCAGCGAGGGCCAGGCAGCAGCCAGGAAGAAGAAAAAAATGCAAAACATAAGTGATTTTCGTATTATCAATGTCATCAGTGTATCGAAATGTTGCTTAGCCCTATTACATAAAGTTCTATCGATCGATATCTGAATTTTGCCAGTATCCATGAGTACACCCTCTCATCCCCCCACATTCTCTCCCAAACGTCATTGAAGACAGTCAGTCTCCCTCTTTTCTCACTCACCGTCCAGCGGATAACCAGGTTGTCGGGCTCCGTGCCGCGACCCTCCACATTCTCCGGGTTCTTCTCGGGCAGATTTTTCGGCGTCGTGCACACCTCCGAGTGGCCGGACGGCAGGGACGGTCCCACGCGGTTGACGGCAATCACTCGGAAGGTGTAGTTGGACCACGGACTCAGCGACACCACGTAGCTGTTGTCGGAGCTCTTGGTCTCGGCCGCCTCCACCCAGGTGTCGGGGGTAAAGCTGGTGTTGTACTGGATTATGTAGCGCAGGATCGGCGCCCGGTTGTCGCCGTTCGGGGCCCACTCGACGTCGGCGCTACGCTCCCTGTTGGGCGAGTGGGGTGGACACACGTGGGTAAAGTTGGGGAATGCAGAATGAGGGCTTGGGCGGTCACGTGGATATATCACAGAGAAGTAGAGAAAGTGATGCAGTCAGTCACCCCCAAACTGACTCACAGGGCCTAGTAACATCAATTATTTAAGCTATCGGTACATTAAACCACAATATTCATCAATCCCAGTCCAGCTGCTTCCCGAACCCAACAAGACGTAGACGTTTTCATTCATGCAATCTGACTGGCATTTGTTCTAACTTTTGGAAAAAAACGCATGCACACACAAACTCTGACAAATGACAAACAAACAAACAAACAAACAAACAAACAAACAAACAAACAAACAAACGAAACTCTCACGCCACCAAATAGTTCCTCCAGTTTACCCCACATCCCCTCCCCCGCCACAGCCCGGCCGTCACTGCGCACCTGCAGGTGGCGTGTTTGAAGACGGGCGCGTTGGGTACGTCCTCGACCTTGAGCGTAGCGTTGGACTCTGCACTGTCCAGCTCCGTCGAGGCCACACATGTGTAGCGCTTCGAGTCGAGCTCGGTCGTCTTGGTAATGGTCAGCGAGTTGTCCGAGGTCTGGATGAACCTGCCGCACGCCAAAAAACAGGCGCAGTCAGTGTCAGGACAGGGAGACGGGCATCAAGCACTGTCACCGCGCATGACCAGTTCAGGACCAATAATGAAGCATGACGTCAATAAAGAGCAGTAACATAAATAATGCACAATTGATTGATCAGCTTATGTCTAAACCAAGTAACGAGAGGTATTTCTCGAGAAGAAATCGAAAAAATATGTTTCACATCTAAGAAATGAGGCAACTACAAAAGTCCATATCAAATTTCATGCTCTGTTTACCCGCTCTGCCCATTCATTATTAGACACCACTTTACCCACTGACAACATACCATAGTGCTATAAAAACGCCATAAAGCTCGTTACACCCTGTCCAAGCCTTCCCAGCCTTCCATGCCACCGTTCGCCCTTCTGTCCCTGGTCTAGCCCCGCTCTCGGTCTCACCTCGGCTCAGTCTCAAAGTTGATGGGTACGCCGTCGGCCAGCCAGTCAATGCTCAGCTCCAGGGTCGGGTCGACAGTGGCAGTGCACCGGAACGTGGCGGAGTTGCCAGCCACCACCTGGTAGTCCTCCGGGCCCTGTGTGATCTTGGTCGGCTCTGCGCGGTAGAAAGAGACCCAGACGCACAAAGAGGGGGGGGGGGGGTGTCAGTGGTTTGATGGGACCAGTGAGACGAAGATGAAATCGGGACAGATAACAAGCGGTGTAATACAGCTTACTCGATGTGTTTTGAAGAAAAATTTTAGTTTTCAAATCAACCCGTATGAGGAGATTCATTTCAGCTACAAAATCTGGAAACACCGAACTTTTGTTTACAAAAAAAAAACCTTTGGGGCACTATATCACATCCAAACTGAGAGTCGGAAACCTAATCACAGACCCAAACAGACGGGCAGGCGGCAGCCGCGGTAACCAGCCCCGTTTAACCCCACCCCTCTGCACATCACAAGCCCGCCTAGGCTTGGGTCTGACCGTGCTAAGCCGGGACAGTCTGTTTGGGCCTGACGCACCTTTCACGACGAGCGTTCCCTCTGCCTGGTCGCTGCCCAGTCGGCTGGTGGCCAGACACATGTAGGTACCGGCGTCCGACGAGGAGACGCGCCTGTGGACGGGGGCAGCGTGAGCACCGGGCTATCCAGGAAGTCAGGACGTCGGAGTCGAGGGAGGAGAGAATAACGGCAGCAGCATATAATGAAATCGGGACAGACAAGACATGGAAAATGTCAAGGCAGTCGAAACGGATTCACTCGGGAGGAGCCTTAGCTTCTATTTCACTTGGCGCATGAAATGGATATCACATTAATGTGAGCGTTCTGAAACTGCTGCAAGTAGGAAAGGCCTGCGTATTCCCAGCATGATGAAAAGGAGCAGTTATTGGCACACACAAAAAAGAGATAAAAACTACCGTACACTAAATCCAACTAAGAAATGAATCCTCGCAATGACCAAGCCGCAGCGTGTAACTTTAAAAGAACTAACTGTTCTAAAAAAAGTAAACGCGTATCACTTGACACGACCCGCCCAATCTACCTGCCTCCTCACCATTCCCGCCCGTCCACTGTCTCCACCCCGCCCATACTCACTTGATGGTGAGCGTGCCGTCTGGAGCGGTCTGGAACCGTCCCCCTGTCCTCTCGTCACCGTCCTCCCCTCCGTAGAGCCACTTCACCTCCGGGAGAGGCGCGCCGAACACCTCACACACCATCTCCACGTCCGTGCCCTGCACCGTGGCCACGTCCTGCGGCCGCTTCACGATCTCCGGCGGCAGCTCCAACACGTTCACGTACACGTCCTTGTAGACATAGCCGTTGTTGTTGGTGGCGTTGCAGCCGTAGTTGCCCGTGTCCGACTTGCGCAGGTCGCGGATGGTGATCTTGTTGGGGGTGGCGATGCGGCGCGGGTTGGGCTCGGCCTCGCTCAGCGGCAGGCCGTTGTGCGTCCACTTGATGTCCGGTTTGGGCACGGCGACGGCGTCACACTCGAACACCACCGTCTCGCCCTCGGCAGCGTTCTTCACCTCGGGCTCTTTGGTGAACTCGGGCACGGACTCGAGGCGCAGTTTGAAGGAGCGTGTCTGCGCCGTGCCCACGCCGTTACTGGACGTGCACACGTACTCGCCCTCGTCACTAAAGTCCACATTCCGGATCACCAGCGACTTTCCGAAGTTGTTCATCTTGATGCGTCCGTCGCTAAGGTCTAGCGGCCCGTTGGATTTTTGCCACTGGGTGCGTGGCAGCGGCCTGCCGAGAAGGTTGGATCAGTGTGAGATCGAACGATCTAGCGCCTCGGGAAAACAGCACAAGATGTGCCTGAGTGACTTGACCAAGACGAGCTAAGCATGATCAAAAAGTTAACTCTGGGCTGGATGAAACCGGTATTTCCCTTAACTCTACGCGGCCTGTGTCTACTCATTCATTCTCGCTGCATCTTACTATTTAAACACCACCCTGACATTGGCTACTCCCTCCCGCCTCAGAACCCAGCACCGCCCCACGCTCTCCTACTCACGTTCCGCCGTAGATACACCAGATCTCGACTGTGCTGCCCTTGATGGCTGCGATGTTCTTGGGCGATACGTACTGCTCCGTCGGCTGCCGCTTGTTCTTGGAGCTGACGCTGCCCGTGCGCAGCACGTTCAGACTCACGCGGTTACCGACTTTGTACTCGCTCCTGGTGAACACAGGCGTCCAGGGAGGGTCAGCGCTCCGCGCAAGGACAGCGTCTGAACGGGGACCAGCGGGAGGTTATATAACAACTAGGGGCAGAGAGACACTGCTGATGAAATCTGCAGTCGCGAGGAAAGCATGAACACAGTCACAATTCATTTTAGGGTTATAGAAAATAGCATCAAACATGTAAAACACGCAATTTTAATCGCATATGATAGCTTGATAGCTTAGCTTGCTTGATGTAGCTTGATAATAGCTTGATACTGAATAATGGCAAAGTCCCGGTTGCGGACGCTAACATGTGCAGTTAAGAGTGCAAGGGAGGGACTGTCTCCAAAAGGGGTGCTGATTTCGCTGACAGGGGCTGCTGATGTCGCCAACAGGGGCTGCTGATGTCACCAACAGTATTGCCGCTGACAGGGCCTGATGTCGCCGACAGGAGTGCTGATGTCGCCGACAGGGAGTGCTGATGTCGCTAGGGCGCTGACCGGCGGGGCGGAATGGCTCACCGGAAGGGTGACGTGGCCGAGCAGGCGTAGACGAAGCCCTCGCTGGCGTCCTTCAGGGTCACGTTGCTGAACCACAGGTTTCCGAAAGGGTCCACCGTCTTCCGAGAGGAGTTGATGCTCGACAGAGAGCCGCCGTCACCCTGTGGCGGATCACGGTCCGGTTAGTGAGGTCGGGGCGCACCAAGATCAGGTAGGTACAGCAACATCAGGTCAGAGTCAGACCAGTGGCAGAGAGAAGAGAGGGAGGGAGAGAGAGAGAGAGAGAGAGAGAGAGAGAGAGAGAGAGAGAGAGAGAGAGAGAGAGAGAGAGAGAGAGAGAGAGAGAGAGAGAGAGAGAGAGAGAGAGAGAGAGAGAGAGAGAGAGAGAGAGAGAGAGGCGGGCGAGGTCCGTGTCAAAGTCGGGTAAGTGAGATAGCGGTGGATCAAAGCCAGTAAACAACAGTTCGAGCGCAGTCATCCCAAATCTCACTCAAACGTCCCTCATGCCCTCCGACAGGCCTCCGCCGTTCTCCGGGACTCTCTCTGCCCTCACCTGGTACATCCAGTGCACCAGGGGCGCCGGGTAGCCCTCCGGCGGCTCGCAGTTGAGCACTATCGGCTCTCCCTCGTTAGCTGACATGGTGACCGGTGGCGCCACCTTGAACGAGTTCAGGTCCGACTTCCGGACGTGCACGGAGTTGGACGTAGCCGTGCCGTGCTCGTTGGTCGCTTTGCACTGGTACGCTCCTGGCGGGAGGGGGGGGGGTCAGTTAGCCATGCTCGTTGGTCTTGATCGTGAAGATATCATTCACAACAATCACTCACACCACCACCCTGGCAAAAAAAAAAAAAACGCCCACTTTCTAACGTAAATTATGGGTAGCTTATTTCAGTATAGACATTAGACACAGCACACATCATTCAAGAAACACTTAATACTGTTGGCATTTGTCTGTGCCATTCCTGTTCTTTATATTGAACCAAGCTATGGTCTCTTTATGATCCGTTTTCAACAGACTTTCCTTAACTTCTACTCTGCTACAATGAAGAGATCTTGTCAACACAAGGTCTAATGTATTTCCACGCCTAGTTGGCTTGTCGACCCATTGCTTTAAATGCATTCCGTTAAAGTTCTTTAGGAAGCCCTTCGCTCTTCCTGTCCGTCTACGCAAAGTCGGTGATGTAGCGTAACCTGTCTTCTTCCAATCTATTTCTGGTATGTTGAAGTCCCCCACTATTACCAGAGGGCCGTTCACAGTACTCAACGCTTCCATTATTTTGGCCAAGGCGTCGTTATTTTTCGGAGGCCGATAGCATATCGCTACGGTTACCGATAACTTATCGAGGTGAATCAGTAATACCTCGACACCAGCCGGATCCCTCAGCCGGATGGGTACCAGTGAGTTGCGCACGGCACACGCCACGCCGCCGCCGCGGCTTCCACGGTCGCGGCGGAACCACGTATGGTCGGGGAACGCTGCCTGTAGCTCCGAGTCCGCCACTTTGTCGGTGAGCCAAGTCTCCGATAATCCAAAGACATGATATTTCTCGTACCGTGGAGCGAGGGACCGCAGATGCGCTAGCTGTTTGTTAATACTGTTGGCGTTGCAGTGATACACAGAGAATTGTATGTAACCAGGCATAGTGGCGTGACGTGTCTGCAAGTTCAGCATATGCGTCATGTTTTATTATAGTCTCTACTAGGGTTACCCGCGTGCTCCGCAACGCGAAGGGGGATTTTTTGACCCGTGGGTATTGGGTTGGTCTGTGTCGATTTGGTTGGTAGATATCCATTTCGTTCGATTGCTTTTTGACGGCCAAGCATTTTGTAAGAAAACAAAAAGATACATCGCATCGAGGTGCCCGTGTCGTATTATCATGCGTTCTACTTTAGAATGATTCGAAAACTGGCGTGAAGTCTTTTGAGGGCCATCGATGAATTTCGCTAAAAATGACAATGTAATGGTTTGGAACATTTACATTTTTAAGGATACTGTTGCTAATCATGCAAAAATGAAGAGTGAATATTGGACAGAATTGAATGCTCTATCCAATGATACCATATTCAATTGCCAAAGGTATCAGGTTATGCAGCAAACCCCGTGTGATTAATAAAGTGGCACAAAATTGACAAACACCATTTTCTCCTGTGATTTGCACCACCTTGATTTGGATCAATCAGCTTTTCACAATTTTTATATGAGAGGCGGTACCTTTCTCTTGCAAATAGGCGTTGATTTAACTCGCTCCATTTAACGGTCACCTAAAAATAAAATCAATTCCAAAATCCCTCAAAAACCGCAATTTTTCAAATAAAAGTGCCCTCTCCGGTGCACGTGGCGCGTGCTATCCTCTGCATTGCACACCATTCAATAGCCCGTTCAATTCTGTACACGATGCTGTTTTCCCCGTGCCGGTCGGACCCCTGGTCACCAAGATATTGCACGGGAACTGGACCCGTGTCGGCCAAAATTAGCCGTTTTCGCCCGATTTCGCACGCCGATTTATACATGTAAAGTCTATGACGCGAATTTGCACTTTTTGAGCACGCGCCACGCGCTCCCTATCAATCCGATCGAGTTGAGACCCCTCAAAGGCACGTCGCGCATCCTTGATCTATAAGTTGTGCAAGTTTCACCGCGCTAGGTGCAACGCTCTGGCCTGTAGTCCACGCAAAGCACCACCAAGTCGGGACCTCGGTAACGGACAGACGCACCCTCCTCAAATAGTAATATAGACAAGCGGCTGCGCCACTTGCTTTGCTGCGTGGTAGGAAAAAATTGCGGCACCAGCCAATTTGCTTTCGAATGGTGTTCGATTCAAATCGATGTGTCGTCTAGAAGCATAGATATCGACGGAAATGTGAAGAGATTTAAAAAAGAACTGTTCTGAGGGCTTTGTTGGATGAAATTTGGCTGATACGGGGTCAAGGGGTCAGCCCCGGTCACTTTGGGTCAGGCCAGGTCACATAGGTCACCTCTTGTCCGATGGGATCAGCACGGGCCACTATTCTACTTTTGCCTCCACTACTACCTACCCCTACCCTTACCACTACCACTACCACTACCACTACCCCTACCACTACCCCTACCCCTACCACTACCACTACCACTACCCTTACCACTACCCCTACCCCTACCCCTACCACTACATCTACCCCTACCCCTATCACTACTACTACCCATACTCCTACCCCTACCACTACCCCTACTACTACCCCTACCCCTACTACTACCCCTACCACTACCACTACCCCTACCCCTACCACTACACTACCCCTACCACTACCCCTACCACTACCCCTACCCCTACCAACACCGCTGGGTCATGTCAGGTCACAGAATAATTCGTGCCATTCCATTGCCCTTACTCAATTTTGTCGGAAATGGCGCTTTGTGGCAAATGTGGCGCATTGCGGCAAATGCGGCGCATCTGTACCTATTGTTTGAGCATGCATCTTGGCACCAAATTGCACCCATATCGGACCATATTTGACAAAACTGTGCGAGTTGCGGCAAAAATGGCGCGTTGTGACCAATGTGACGCATTGCGGCAAACGCGGTGCATTTGTAAACTCGTATCACAAACTGTTCCCATCGAACGAAAATCAACACATTCTCTCGCCACTTTTTATTCAAATTAAAAACTTGCCTATCCGCCAATGCGAGGCACTCGCCACCGATCGGCATGCATTTAGCTCACAAAGTTTGTCGACCCCGGCTCTCAATGAAGATCTACGAACCGATCAAAATTTCATTGGCGCTCTTCCAGCGCGTCCCACGCGCGAACCGTGCACCCCAGCGAGTCGGAACCTAGAAAAGGCGCTGACCCGGTCTGTCACCTATAAGGTGTGCAAATTTCAACCACCTACGATATACCGTCTGCCCTGTAGGCCGGCTAAATTGAACCCACTACACGACGTGGCGGACAAACAAACAAACAAACAGACGGATCCTGTTCAAATAGTAGTATAGACAAGCGGCTGCGCCACTTGCTTTGCTGCGTGGTAGGAAAAAATTGCGGCACCAGCCAATTTGCTTTCGAATGGTGTTCGATTCAAATCGATGTGTCGTCTAGAAGCATAGATATCGACGGAAATGTGAAGAGATTTAAAAAAGAACTGTTCTGAGGGCTTTGTTGGATGAAATTTGGCTGATACGGGGTCAAGGGGTCAGCCCCGGTCACTTTGGGTCAGGCCAGGTCACATAGGTCACCTCTTGTCCGATGGGATCAGCACGGGCCACTATTCTACTTTTGCCTCCACTACTACCTACCCCTACCCTTACCACTACCACTACCACTACCACTACCCCTACCACTACCCCTACCCCTACCACTACCACTACCACTACCCTTACCACTACCCCTACCCCTACCCCTACCACTACATCTACCCCTACCCCTATCACTACTACTACCCATACTCCTACCCCTACCACTACCCCTACTACTACCCCTACCCCTACTACTACCCCTACCACTACCACTACCCCTACCCCTACCACTACACTACCCCTACCACTACCCCTACCACTACCCCTACCCCTACCAACACCGCTGGGTCATGTCAGGTCACAGAATAATTCGTGCCATTCCATTGCCCTTACTCAATTTTGTCGGAAATGGCGCTTTGTGGCAAATGTGGCGCATTGCGGCAAATGCGGCGCATCTGTACCTATTGTTTGAGCATGCATCTTGGCACCAAATTGCACCCATATCGGACCATATTTGACAAAACTGTGCGAGTTGCGGCAAAAATGGCGCGTTGTGACCAATGTGACGCATTGCGGCAAACGCGGTGCATTTGTAAACTCGTATCACAAACTGTTCCCATCGAACGAAAATCAACACATTCTCTCGCCACTTTTTATTCAAATTAAAAACTTGCCTATCCGCCAATGCGAGGCACTCGCCACCGATCGGCATGCATTTAGCTCACAAAGTTTGTCGACCCCGGCTCTCAATGAAGATCTACGAACCGATCAAAATTTCATTGGCGCTCTTCCAGCGCGTCCCACGCGCGAACCGTGCACCCCAGCGAGTCGGAACCTAGAAAAGGCGCTGACCCGGTCTGTCACCTATAAGGTGTGCAAATTTCAACCACCTACGATATACCGTCTGCCCTGTAGGCCGGCTAAATTGAACCCACTACACGACGTGGCGGACAAACAAACAAACAAACAGACGGATCCTGTTCAAATAGTAGTATAGATTTATTCATAACCATGCATAACTTCCGACTTTAAGTATCGTTATTTTTACGCGTGGTGTCGTATATGCAAAGTTCAGCATATGCGTCATGTTTTATTATAGTCTCTATTTATTTATAACCAGGCATAACTTCCGACTTTTAGCATCGTTATTTTTAAGCGTGGTGTCGTATATGCAAAGTTCAGCATATGTGCCATGTTTTATTATAGTATCTATTTATTCATAACATGCATACCTTCCGACTTTTAGCATCGTTATTTTTACGCGTGGTGTCGTATATGCAGTACATGCAATTCTATGTTTGGCCCTTCTTGGTTGACTGCGGGGTGTTGTGGCACTTCCAAATTCTGTCCTGATGTTGTATGCTCCGCAACTTCAACTCGATTCCTCCGACAGCCCTTTGTTGTATGGAAGGGACACTGTTGCCATTGGTTTATCCCGTGGATGTTGATGGGAAACTTCTCCACGCCGGGTTGATCGTTCTTTCTGGCAGTACATTGTCACATTACAGTGCTGTTTCTTGCTATGCCCAGAGGGCACATTGTCAGTGGGCACATTGGGGAACAGACTCACCACAGCGAAGCTTGCCATCTGTGAGTTTGGTGATGGTCACAAGGCCCAATCATGGGTTGATGATAGTGACGCGAAACTAACTAGGGGAGGAGACAGGAAACTCATCAATGGCAGCTTACTAGAGCTTGTATATCTTTAACCCCGAGTACATATGGAGGCATGCTGTGCTTTTGGTTCCGTTTTTGTTGTCCATGAGATGTCCCCCGTTCCTTTTCCTCTTTGGGAGAGTTGCTAGTTTGTTTTCACAAGCCGGATTTGGGCCTTTCTTCAATTTGGTGTACGCTCTATCACAAGTTTGTTCATATATCCTTTCTTGCCCATGGCAGCGATAGTGTAATCCTCTTCTGCTGGGAGCAGGACTGTTCTATTATCCTGTTTGAAATTCTTCATACCAACTTCCTCTTCAGTGGTTTCGACTAATTTTCGGCACTGTACTTCTTTCTGCCTGCCGCTGTCAATGACAGCTTTTCTTCAATGCCCTTCATTTTTTTTCTTGCACGATACATGGTCTTCCCTGGTTTCACTTATTCGGTTGAAGTCGCGACACACTTTTTGAGGTTGAATATCACAACAGAGGAATGCGTTGGAGCTGCTTCTGCTATTGTACTTTCAGATTCCGGCACCATCGGCTTCGGCATATTGATGCAATCTGCTTCCTAGATGCCAAATTGGTCAACAACAAGATTCGAACCAGCAACCTTCCATATCCACCGCGGGCGCCCTAACCAACTACGCTACAAAACCCACCCTCTCCAACAATATAAAAGAGAACGTAGTTCACACCGTGCGTCACCGACGCCTGATAGGGTCGGGGCGAGTTGCGTGACGTCACGGCTAAGTACCTACACGAACCCTATCAACAAGATAGGTATTTTGAGCACCTATTGATTGCTGAAGTAGATCACAGATGAAGTCACGTCGAAGTTCAAAACTGAGAGCCCCTACATTAAGGACTTCGGAGCCCAATCGCCGAGCAATTGACAGAGAAGTGAGATTGATGACACAGAGTCTGAGCAACCAAAACGAGCTGCATCTGACTTCTGAGAATATCTACATTTGTCAATGGCAGCTGCCCCGTATCGTTCGTCTTCACTGCGGCGGACATGTACACCTTTTGACATCTGTGAAAGGCTACAGAGCTGTGTGTGGAGCGTCTACCTGTGCCTTGAGGAGTTTATCAGCGATTGTGTCTGGCAAAATGTGTACTGGTGAGTGCCCACTTCGTGTCCGATAGCTTGTTGATACCGTGGGGCCGCGGGGCGGCATGCAGTGGTCTGAGCTCTCTCACCTATGTCCTCGTCGCTAGGTGAGGTGATCACCAGGGTACCCCGGTCGGGCTGTTTCGACATCCGCTTGTCGTACACCTGCCAGTGGAACGGCTTGCCGTTCTTGAACCAGGAGAACCTGCCGCAGACAGACAGACACACGTGGGTCAGACATCCGGGCCGATCAGGCAGAGACGATAGTGCAGCGGCCAGATAGCTGCACCATATCGATGGCAGTGGTGTATTGTAGCTCAACACGTGACGTTTCGGGAATATGTCCAGTAGTGAGATGGTGCAGTACTGCCGTGGTAATGGAAGCGGTAAGGAAGAAGAGAGGCGACAAAGCGACCGACACAATCACATGATATGATATGGCATTTGGCACTTGCATGACAATATTGGGAATCTGTATGGAGCAAGCATAAGCGTGACTGCCGTACTGGAATGTATGAGCGCTAGATGTGTACACAGAAACGATGCCTGGTACCGTGGTGATAACGAATGAGATGTAAACATTGCACAAGCAAGTGAAATGTTTACCATCTGTATCAGGTCCAATCATGGGACCTAATATGCGTTAGCCCATATTGGTGGCCAGCACAGAGGTCCGTTGGCACAAGTGGCAATTATCAGATTTTTGCAAATTGCCAATGGCCAACAAACACATCAGAAAACAATATTAGAGGACACTATCTACCCAATCTATCATCGAGTGTCCACCCTCCTGCACATTGACCTCCTGCATTTCAACTCGATTCTTTTTCACACCTCCAGCCGTCCCCACTCGCTCATGGGTGGCTCCGCGGCGCTGCAGTAGCGCCTCCTCACACAGGACACGCTCTCACGGGACAGGCGCTCGCAGGCGACACCTCTCACATTGGGCACGCTCTCACAAGGACGGACGTCCGCCTCACCCACAGCTTCAGCCGGGCCATCGTTCACCGGTGCCCTGTCAGCCCTTCAGAGCGAGCCCACAGCCTATTCCAGTCTCTCTAGCTCCACCCTTCGTCGCGACTCGGAACAGTTTTCTGTCCATCGGCGGCTTGGAGCTACACTAGCGCCCCTGGCGGCTGAGACACCAGCGCCCCTGGCGGCGGCGGCGGCGGCGCTCAGCCGCTGGGACTGTGATGGATGATGAGACATGAGAGAAGCCGCTCGATGCCGACGGCCGCCGCCACAGACTCCTTCTCGTCCCAGGTTCCCTGACGATCCTATTCCACTCGCCGTCGTCCACCTCGCTCTCCGACGGACTGTCGGATAGCGTGCTGTATGTGCCCGCGCGGTCCGATACCCACGGCGTGGAGGATGTCGGCGAGCGGCATGATACCCATTACCCGCCGCTCGCCGCCAGTCACCACCAGTCGATCTTAAAAGTACCGCGCATCGGTGCGGCGGTGCCAGCAAGCTCGACCGAGGGAGGACTCATATGAGGATGAGGATGTTATCGAAGGAGAAGGGGTGAGGGCCGAAACAACTTAAAAGGGACCCTCCCACCTTAAAGGTAGTGTGCCAGCTTTCTTGGACCGTATGGAGTTAATGGCCCAGATAAGGAGAACCGGATTTTTAGAACTTATCCATACCTTCAAAACTCATGGAAACGTCTTAAATTCTTCAAATTTTGAGTACCCCAGTGCGAAATTCGCCCCGACGGGTTGTCGGTCGTACCCCAACCACATTTCACACCACTATGAACAATAAATGCACACACTGAAATCGCTATTACCGATATGCTCATCCAATCAAGTTTCGATAAACCCGTTCATCATCAGTTCCTGCGGTTTCGAACACGCCTGTTAGGTGGTGCGGTAGACCACGCCCAAATCCAGGGCCCCGGTAACGTGATGTAGCCGAGTCAGGGCAGCGTGCGCTGACCCAAGCCGGAGCCGCGCGTCCTCCCGGTGTCATGTGATAGCCCGCGGGGATGCGGTAGACCGCGCCCAAAGCTGCGGCCCCGGCTTGGGTCAGCGCACGCTGCCTCGACTCGGCTACCTCACGTTACCGGGGCCCTGGCTTTGGGCGCGGCTTCTGCTCATACTTTGTGGTGCGGTGGTGGTGCGTCGGGCTGCGCGCTCTGACTTCGGCCAAGAAAAATGCGTCAGCTGATCATTGTCATTTCTGCCACTTGCGTGTGGTGAAATGGGGTCATAACTTATAAGACGGCTTTTTCATATCAATTATTTTACATAAAATCATATTTCAAACCATAAATAATGTTTGACAGCTAAATAAAAGAAACAATACCAATACGGGCTTACAGTTTAAGGCTCGATATTGTGTTGTCTACGATTAGACAGCTGATAACTCATTCCCGTACGTCATATGGTCGTAACACTATAATGACCTTTGCTTATTGTCACAAGTGCGCCGCATTCGCAATTGTTGCCCGACGCCTGTTTGCAGGTGAGCCCACTACAGTTGTTATACATATCTAAAAACCGATAAACTTTTAGGCGAAAAAGGCACTATTCCAGGCCCATTTTTGATTTTTTTGGCGATATTAGGTAAAAACAGAAGCTTCTTATCCTAGGAAAAATAAAATGGGAAATCTTTCAAAGGTGGCACACTACCTTTAACATTAGTTTTGAGTTGAGATAGCCAAGTTTGCGGCCAGGCTCAGAAACCACCATTTATCCTGGTCGCAACCCCCGCAGCTTTATGGTGTTCAAGAAATTTCTTCCCTTTACTTGCAGGGTGGGACCAGCGTGGTCCCTATCTCTTAACCATTACGGGAATCTGATGACGTCATCAGGCTTTCCAACGTCCGTTTAATGTTTGACTAAAACGTTTTGTAGCACGCGGTGGTATATGCTGCTTAACGCGCAACAAATGCCGCACTTTCAAATAAAGTCGCTAGGAACAGCGGAGATCCCAAAAAGTAAACAAAAGTAAAAGTCTAATATCTTGAAAACCAGTGAATATTTTTCGATGAAATTTGGTAGATATTCGTTTTTGCTCTTTTTGAACTGAGCGACATCACTTTCATGCCAATTCATTAACTTTTTTGAAGGTGGGAGGGTCCCTTTAACCCTCGCCGGCCGAGGGGGGGGGGCGGGTGCCGCCCCCCCATAGGGTTTTTTCGCGATAGCTCCGAACACGCTGGCGATAGAGAGCTGAAACTTGGCATACCTGACCTTTGATCCAAGCCGCATCTTTTGACGCCAACCGCATTTTTGGGTCAGGTCAGGTCACTGACCTATGACGTCATAAGTGAACCTCTGCACGGTCTTCAGATGTCGCAACTTCGCAACGCCCTCACTGCCAGCTAGGAGATGTCACAGGGAAATGAAACTTGCAGGATCTAGTATCCATTATGAGTCCCACAATTTGTATATCTCGGATTTTTCCTAAAGGTCATATGAGGTCAGGTCATTTTCGTGACCTCACCATTATAAGTCAATGGGGAAAAATGAAAGCTGCTATTCTGGCGCCGGGAACGATCTCCAACTATCTCAAGCACACAGAATCGTGATTTGATGCACTCCTTGCAAGGTTAGATGCGTCACTTTTGCAATGTTGACCTTGCGTGACGTCATTTATGACGTCATCAAGGTCATATTAGTTTTTCGTCAATAACTCTTGATCAAATTGAGCTAGCGAGTCGGGAAAGCCACCAATGGACTCAGGAAGACCTGCCAAATCGAATGATATGCGACATGGCCCCTTTCGACCAACTTCGTGACCTGGGGGTGCTGACCTGACCTTGACCTGAGGTCAACACCCCAAGTTGACCTGACCCGGACAAAAAGTATATCATTCGACGCGCCTGAGCGAGACGAACACGATGCTGCCAAAATCGGCGCTCTGCGGCCGTTTTTTTGCAAAGTTATTCACCAAAAACTGAACCGTACCTTGGGGCACTTGACCTGACCTCAGAGGTCACCGGTTGACCTAGGACCTTAAAATCGGGTACCAATCTCTGCGTCTCGTAACGGCGCACACGCTCGTTTTTTCCGCGACGCGCTAGCTCCACCAGGGGCGAAACGGCGAGGGGGGGTCGTACCCGTCCCCCCCCCCTCGGCCGGCGCGTATGTAGAAAACCAATAGGTCCGGCGAGGGTTAACCGTTGGTTCGCCGGTACTTCATTTCCCCGTGTAGCGATACTTTGAAAAGAGACTGTAACTTCTTTCCAGCGCGCATGATCTTGTCTAGCATTAAGGACTGTAGTTACTACTTGCTTCATCGTCAAAGTCCGGGTCGCAAAAAAATACGGTACACTAAACAGTGCATCATCAAACGGAACGATATCATGCCCGAAGCTATCCGGCGTCAAAGGCGGACACCGTGGACGAACATGAGCAAGAAGATGACAACACGACCGCTGACCAGCCAACTTACCGGAAAAAAAAACAGCTAAGGAGACAGTGCTTGGTTAATTCCAACATCAATACCAACAAGTCTCTATCAACAAGTCACGGCATGGACTAGCAAAACACAACACGCTTGTCGATCTGATAGAAACTCAGTTGGTATAATACCGACCCTCATCAGCACGAAGGCAAGGGCGGCGCCTTAGTCAGCGGCCCAGCAGTGTGGATATTCCAGGAGCCGGGCCAGGCTGACGCCGGCTGCGGTCGCGGCAACCGGTGAGCTCGGTCAGTGTCCCAGCCGAGTACCTACCGCAGGCACGGCCGGATATTGGTTACACCACTCTGTGTGTACGGACGAGCCGGGCGGCCCGGGCCCAGAGGCGGCTCAACAATGACTCAGGCGGCGCCGCACCACCCCCTCAGAGGGAGTTCCAAACTCGCGGCCGCATGTATAATATTATCACCGAGGAATGCCGTGGGGCCGTCGGGAGGCCCAGTGTTGCGCAACACAATGGCCGGAGTAGCACTGACCGCTGACCGGGAACCTGCAGAGCGGGAGCGTCGGCAGGGCCTGGGCGTCACTGCAGACCAAAATAGCATCGGCGGCGAACTCACCGTGTAAGGAGAGTCCTTCATGAACACCGAATATGACAGCGGCGCGGTGGCCCGACAGTGGAACTGAGGATATCATTTCGAGGTCGAGTGGCCGAATAACGACAGCCAGCGGCCGATTTCATAAAACTACGTAAAATGAGACTGACGCAGTTTTATACCCATTCTGCTGCATTTTACGCCCGAACCGTTTCATAAGGTAGTTGCAGATATAACCATG